GGTCTTGCTCAGGACTAATGGACCAACTCGAACGGCATTTGAATGATAAATTGAACGCTGGGTGATCACAGTCCGAAGGAGGCCCTTTGCAACATGACCTTGACCAGTGTTGCCCACTGATTTCACCACCCGCATGCCTTGTCCTGCAGCCAAGTTTGATGTAAAGTCGGGGCTGCGTCAATGTGCAGATCTCAAAGACCGGCAGTGCAGGTTCTCGGACTGGCTGCCCCAGGGTGTTGCGATTGGCGAGGAGCGCACTTGTAGATGCTTCGCTCACTGCGGCTTTCCCAGCAGCCCTACAGCACACAGCCCAACAGCCCAACCCAACAACCCAACCCCAACAACCCAGCAGCCCAACAACCCAAGAACCAACAGCAACAGCCCAGCAGCCCAGCAGCCCAATCCAACAGTCAAACAACTCAGCTCAACAGTCCAACATCCCAACAGCCAGCCCAACAGCCCAGCAGCCCAACGGCCCAGCAGCCCATACAAAACCAACAGGCCAACCAAACCCTAAACCCAGCAGCCCAGCAGTTTAACGCCCCAACAGTCAAACAACCCCACAGCCCGACAGCCCACCAGACAGCCCAACAGCCAGCCCAACAGCCAGCGCAACACCCCAACAACAGGCCAACACCCACTCACTCACTCGCACTCACCCACCCACCCACCGACCCACCCACCCACCCACCCACTCACTCAGTCACTCACTCACTCAGGACAAGCGAGAGCAGTGGCGAATGGCATCGCAGAAGGCAACGGGGCGGCCATATCGGCAATTTAAGCGGATTGCTTTGAAGGACTCATCCAAAGCCAGAGCCGTGCGCGGGAGGTCTTGGAGATTATGCAGCTCTGCGTGGACGCGTTTTTGCAGCCGCGCCGGCCGCGATTTGGCTGTGGTGGTCCAAACCGTTTTGGGATCCCCTTTTGTGGGATTGGTGAATTCACCACCCATTTTAGAACCTATTTTAGTGGGGATTGAGATGTTCACTGGGGGTACGATTTCGATTTTGACCCATGGCCATTTCGCTCGATTTCTAAAACAAAAAGACACACAAAAAGCGGGATGGTTTGGCGCGCTTGCGCATGGACAAGATGGACTCATACAAAGCCTTTTTTTAGCTTTGGTTGCTTGTTGGACAAGCTGGTCCACCCCATGTTGGCTTGGCTTTGGAAAACCTTGACTGATCTTCTTGTAAGCAATAAAGGGTAGCCTCAGCAATCTTAACACATGCTCGAAGTGGGGGTTTGGGGAAAGCAACACCGGGAACCCTTCGCACCAGGCACGAAGGCAGCATGAGGCCCATCTTCAACGCGTTGGGGCGCCCGGTTGGGGGCTGGTTCCGTTTGCTCCATGCCTGGCAGAAAGTCAGGGCTGAGCAACTTTGCGATTTTGCAAAGTCGGTTTGTTTGCCTTGCAGTCACTCAAGCTGTGTATCGTTCCAGTGTGTATCGTTCTTTTTTCCTTGCCAATTGCAGAGGATAACGGCAGTCTCATGAGAAGTTTCGGACCTGTATTTTGTTAGCTATTGATTTTTCAGACGGCTGAGGAACCTAAGCCGCCGAAACGAGTGTGGTCGCCCTCGCGTCCGGTCTGGAATTCTTGAGAAAACGAGAAAACACAAAAAAACAACATGAAACAAGAAAACCGTGTTCGCCGTTTTCGGGTTTTCACGTTTTCGTGCCGTTTTCACGTTGTTGCGTTTTCGCGCGGCATTCGGCCGAAGACAACGTGGACAACACACAGAAGAATCCCCTCCACAACGGGAAACTCAGTACCTGAGAAAAAAACGGCGCCTGCAAGTGCCACTACGAATATCTGGCGACAGCTATTTGGCTGACTATTTTGCCGATGCGGGGAGTGGCATACGTAACGACGACGTTGTCCACGGCCTTTGAGCAGGGCTACTGTGGGTGGAGGAAATCCATCACCTAAGAAACCCAACGGAATGATTTGATTCCTCAACGTAAATGCCACCAAACGTTATGGTTTCCCATGGTTTCAGTTCGTGCCCGTCCACACCGTTCCAGTGAGGTACAAGCAGCTGCGCCAGGAGGGCTACCAGTTCCCGCGCTCTGCCACGGGTGTTGCTGCCTGGGCACCCATGGGTTTTTGGGTAGCTGGCGAAAGCCGAACTGGTTTGAGTGGCTGTTCAGGGATTCTGCGCGCAGAAGCCTTGATTTAAGATCTCATGTTCGAGAGGCACATGCCGGCAATATATAGCTGACATATCTGGCATTCGCCTCTGCATTTGAATGTTGATGCAGCTTGTCTGTTGTCGCGAAGGCAAGGATTCCGCATTTATGCATGACTGCGTCAGAGACTTGGGCTTGGAGGTATGTCTGCACGCATGTTTGGAGATCGTTTTTCTTGAAGCGCAAGAGGCCAAGGTTTGTGACATAAACGCCCCAGTGCCTAGTTGGCTGCTGCTACACGCCCTGGGACGAACAGAGCCGATCACTGAGGCAGACCTCTGCCTGGTGAATGGCGCAGAAGACAGCCGGGACCCTGAAATGGCCATGGGTCAAAATCCAAATTGTACCCCCAGTGAACATCCGATTCAATCCAACCACTAACATAGGTCAAAATGGGATCTGATTGGTTTTGACCAGCCAAATGGCTTGAATCGAGCCGGTGTCAACGGTGGCCAGAACTCATGTGCTGGTAGAGATGGGACCCTCAGAGATCCAGGGAGGAAATCGAAATAAGTGGAGTGTTTGGCAGCTGACTATCCTGGCATTGGTATCGGCTAAAGATAATTGTGAACGCTAACGCGTGACCGCCGGGCAATGCCACAGCCATTTGGAGACAGCGGGTGGTGCAGGGGAGCTGACCTGGGCTTTTGTCCCGGACTTTAGAGCCCGGACTTTAGAGCCTCCGGCTCAGTCCGCCGACACATTGTCCTCTCCCTCGTGCGTTCTGTCGTCCTCTCTCCCTCCCTCTGCTCCCCATCCCCCCAAGCCTCTCTCTCCTCAATCTCCCTCTCTCCCTCTCTCTGTCTCTCTGTCTCTCTGTCTCTCTGTCTCTCTGTCTCTCTGTCTCTCTGTCTCTCTGTCTCTCTGTCTCTCTGTCTCTCTGTCTCTCTGTCTCTCTGTCTCTCTGTCTCTCTGTCTCTCTGTCTCTCTGTCTCTCTGTCTCTCTGTCTCTCTGTCTCTCTGTCTCTCTGTCTCTCTGTCTCTCTGTCTCTCTGTCTCTCTGTCTCTCTGTCTCTCTGTCTCTCTGTCTCTCTGTCTCTCTGTCTCTCTGTCTCTCTGTCTCTCTGTCTCTCTGTCTCTCTGTCTCTCTGTCTCTCTGTCTCTCTGTCTCTCTGTCTCTCTGTCTCTCTGTCTCTCTGTCTCTCTGTCTCTCTGTCTCTCTGTCTCTCTGTCTCTCTGTCGCTCTGTCTCTCTGTCTCTCTGTCTCTCTGTCTCTCTGTCTCTCTGTCTCTCTCTCTCTTTCTCTTTCTCTCTCTCTTTTTCTCTCTCTCTCTCTCTCTCGCTGTCTCTGTTTCTCTGTCTCTTTCTGTCTCCCTGTCTCCTTCCTGTCCACGCCCCTCTACAGAAAAAGGGTATGCTAATTCGAACCTCTCTACTCTCTCACTTTTTCTCTCTCTCTCTCTCTCTGTCTTTCTGTGTCTCTCTTTCTCAGTCTCTGTCTTTCTCTCTCTCGCTGTCTCTCTCTCTCTGTTTGTCTCTTTCTCTGTTTCTATGTTTCTCTGATTCTGGCTCTGTCTCTGGCTCTGTCTCTGTCTCTCTTTCTCACTCTCTGTGTCTCGCTCTCTCTCTCTCTCTCTCTATCTCTCTCTCTGTCTCTCTCCCTCTCTCTCTCTCTCCGTCTCTCTCTCTCCCGCTCTCTCCCTGTCTCTCTCTCTCTCTCTGCATTGCAGGGTCACGTCCCCCCCTGAGTTGCCTCGATGTCCGGGCACTGCCCCTGCATGACCCTGAGCTGTTATCTCACTACTGGCTTTCTCCCTTCATGTCCTTTTCACGTTTCCCATGATGTCCTGGTCCTGTCCCTTCCATGCCGTTCAACCCCCCCCTTCATGTCCCTGACATTTTCTCGGTATGTCCGCTTCATTTGCCATGTATGTCCCGTTCTTTCGTTGCGAGTCATTTCCCTACATCTCCCGTCGTACCGATTGGTCTCCTTGTGCTTTGTATCCCCTTGTTTTCATTTCTGTCCCTTGCATGTCCCTTTCAGTTCCCCTTTGTTTCCCTTTGATGTCCCGCTGCTGTCCTGTCATGTCGACTTCCTATTGCCTCCCCTCATTTCCTTGTACTTCCCTGCATTTCCCCTTTGCTCCCCAATATTTCCCGCAAAAAAAGCACGATGTTTCCAGCGTTTTCGCAATTAAAGACGTCCAAGAACACAGAGCCCCAAACCAGCAAAGAGCCGGCAGGGGGAATCGAGCCTGGGACCCCTGTTTTGCGACACCGGCTCCCCGAAGACTCGTTTAGTGGAACGCCATCAAATTGCCGCGCGGTCCTTGGGGGGCGGTGAGGCCCACTGCTGGGGGTACCTATCCCAGAAGGGAACTGGTACGCTGGTCCCTGGCTCTGTTCCGGAGAGAGTCCAGTATGCCAATTGGAGGATGGATTGTCCCTGGTGGATTGTATTGTTGTATAATCCTGTAAGCGGCCTGCAAAGGTTCCTTTGTCACGCAATCATGAGTATTTCTATGGTACAGAAGGGCCTTGAGCCAAATGGTTGCGGGCGATCAACATTGGTCAAAAACAGACACAAAAACAGACACAAATTCCTTTTAATCGCCGGCGCTAGATATGAAATATCTTTGGCTTCTTGGCCTTTGGCCGTAGCCTTGATTTACCCCGTAGCCATGTGTATAATTGAAATACTGGATTCATCCTGTTTTCTGCGCGGATGAAATGTCTTGATTTGCAAAATGGAAAACAGTCTGTACTGATTCTGTGAGATACCTAGATGTATCTAAAAGATGATGTACAACGCTATGTCCATGCAGGACGGATGTGAAACTATTGATCTCTCACTGAATAGTCTTGTTGGCGGTGAGGATCAATTCGGTTGAAATTCGTAGTGCCGATTTCGGGTGTTCTCTCAGTCCAGCTTCAGAAAAACTTCTTTCCTTGGCGGATCACTCAGACCAAAGGAGGTCGAATGGATGCCAGAGGTGGCAGCTTCATCAGATAGTCAACGGTTCCACCGATAGCTGCTGTCGGATTGGCTGCCGTAGTCTCCGTAGTCCTTCCACTGCTTCTGATTGCCCCACTGCTGCTTGTCTGAGCCCAGGATTGCTTCTTGAAGTACTCCTTGGATCGTTCAAAGTTTCGCTGCTTGGTGGCAGATCTGCTGCGGATGTAGACCATCAGCGGACTGTGTGAATCGGAATCTTGAGAGCCATTCATGAACATCTGGTTGTTCACGTGCCTGAAACGTTCCGCAGATAGTCGAAAATGGCAGTCGTAGGATCGTTCCGCATGGTGTCCAGTTGATCATCTTTCATTGCGCCCATCTCTTCCTTCCGGAAATCCTGCTGGATGTTTGTCTTGCCCCATCGAAATACGAATGTCATCATGTGTTCGATCAAACCCGGATCCAGTCTTCATGTAGAGGTGATGACGGACGATGGATTTCAGGGTGCAGGAAGTCTCCATTGCATATTCCATTCTGTCCACGAGTGGCAAGTTCTCCGTTTCATTCCACAATCTCTGGTATGCCTTCATGAGGATATTCATGAGACCGTTGGCCGGATTGTAGACCTGTTGGAGTTTGCTGTAGGTGTTCGCGGACTTGTTGGCGTCTCCGGTGATCGCATCGCATTGATACAATGTCACGAGCGGCATGATTTCGGTTTGAAAATCGTCCCGTGCTGCTCCATGGCTGATTGATGGATGGATGTGAAAAACTCCAATGGTAGCATATGGGAGGTCTGCCCTCCTCACATGGCGGCTGTCGAATTCGAGGAGTGAATCATTGGATGACTTTGGAAACACGCCACGAAATTCATCACTTTGCTCGATGTGGATGACGACAATTTCCTTGTTGCGCCCATGTCCTTGGACAAGTGTGCGTGGCGGCAACCTCGGTCCTATGTATTTCTTGGACTCCCTGAACATGGATGTTCCTGTGGTTGCCAGGCAGTCATAGGTCGGGATGTCGTATTCGGCATCAGTGCAATGGTTCTCGGTTCCGAAGAAGCATCTGAACATACCGAGTTTCCCAGCTTTGACTCTTTGTGGAAATGTGTCGTGCCAATAGTTCCACTCTTGCGGAAGGTCCGCCGCGGACAAAGCATGCGATCGGTTTGGATGACCATTGCTTGATAAGTATGCCCTTGTATCCAAAACCGGATAAACGTCTTGATGAGGTCCTTGGATTTCTCATCTTGAGGACTGAGGAATGCGTCTGCTTCATTTAGGCATTTGATGTGCGCGCTGTTCTGCATCATCATCCTCGTGATTGGTCGATCCTTCATCGCCATGTTATTCACCTCCTTGTTGTCCAGCTTTGGATTCCTCGTAAGGTTTCCGTGGTTCATGGTGAGCATGTTGATCGTCATGGATGAGGTGAACTCATGTGCCTTGAGATGGTCCACAGGAGTACGGTCAGTTGGTTGCATCAGCGATCCCAGCATGTCAGCAAATGCCTGGCACCTGGATGACCTCTGGTTTGTCATATGTCCTGAGCTTCTTCAATCCAAATGGAAGCTTGATCGGATATCCTGATGCTGGCTGTGCCTTCCTGAACTCTTCCATGGATGGCCATTCTCCTCGGTGGTGGAAATAGAATTCTTCTTCCTTGAGGTTGACATCTGGATCGACATGTTCGCTCACATTCTGTATAGCTCTCTGTGGATCCCTGTCGTACTTCTCCATGAAGCGGGTGAAGTTCCTTTTGGTCTCCTTGAGCTCTTCCTCGGCGTCCTTCTTGGTCATGTCCATTTCAAGGTATGTCACCTTGAATTCCTTGATGAACTCTTCTAGGTTCTCGGGATTGTGATACTCCATGGTGACCTTCGGCTTGACGGATCTCTCCCCGTCGCTTCTTGGTCTCTGTGGATGTATCTTTTTCGGATTTTTCCTTGCTTTGTTGGTCGGTATTCACATAGTTGAAGAAGGCATCGGCGAATTCATGGATCTTGGTGTCGTACATCTCAACGTCTTCACGAGTGAGAGACTCTTTTCATGATCCAGTTGTTGCTCATGATGATGTTCCCATCAGGATCAAATGCTGCAACAATATTCTTCGCCTCGATGGTTTGTCCTGTCAACGCTGTTCGCTCTTCGGAGAGTCGGATGCCGTAGTCCTGGTCCTCTTCTTCAATGGATGGCCTTCGCATTCTGGATTTTGCCTGGGCAGTGCCTTCATCTTCATAGGGCGCGTCGGATCTTGAAGGATGCGGACTTGGAGGAATGGATTCTGTTGGAAGATCGTAGTCCGGTTCTTCTTGACGAGGTTCATGCTTCTGTCCAGGCCAAAGGGGGCGTCCAAAGTATTGGAGATCGACTTGTCGAGTTAGATGCTGTTGCATCTCACGTAGA